CATTTTCCCTCCCGAAAGCATGTTCCAGTGTACCAGGTGTTTCTCCCCTGACATGCAGTGTTTCAGGACGGTGTTGCTACCCTGCTGCAGTGTTCTCAGTGTACCCGTGTTGTCATCCTGACATGCGTTGTTCTCAGTTTTACAGGTGTTGCTCACCCTGACATGCGTTTTTCAGGTACCAGGTGTTTCACCCCGACATGCATTTTCCGTGTACCCGGTGTTTTCCACCCCCAATGCAGTGTTCTGTGTACCCGGGGTTGTCACCCCCACTTTCCGTGTTTCAGTGTACCCCGGTGTTGTTTCCCCCGCATGCGTGTTTCAGTGTACCAGGGGTTCTCACCCCGACAGCGTGTTCTCAGTGTACCCGGTGTTGCTCACCCTTACTGCAGTGTTCTCATGTCAGGTTTTGTCACCCCGCATGCAGGTTCTCAGGTACCAGGGGGGTTTTTTCCTGCATGAGTGTTCTCAAATGTACCCGGGGTTGTTCATCCCCGACATGCGTGTTCTCGTGTCCCGGTGTTTTCACCCCGAATGGTTTCTCAGTTTTTACCGGGGTTGCTCACCCGACATGCATGTTTCAGTGTACCAGGTGTTGTCACCCTTTACTGCAGTGTTCTCAGTGTACCAGGTGTTGCTCACCCTGACATGCAGTGTTCTCAGTGTACCAGGTGTTGCTCACCCTGACATGCAGTGTTCTCAGTGTACCAGGTGTTGTCTCACTTACATGCAAATGTTCTCAGTGTACCAGGTGTTTCTCACCCCGACATGCAGTGTTCTCAGGTACCAGGTGTTGCTCACCCTGCATTTCAGTGTTCTTTAGTGTACCAGGTGTTGCTCACCCTTACATGCAGTGTTCTCAGTGTACCAGGTGTTGTTCATCCTGACATGCAGTGTTCTCAGTGTACCAGGTGTTGTTCATCCTGACATGCAGTGTTCTCAGTGTACCAGGTGTTGTTCACCCTGACATGCAGTGTTCTCAGTGTACCAGGTGTTGTTCATCCTGACATGCAGTGTTCTCAGTGTACCAGGTGTTGCTCATCCTGACATGCAGTGTTCTCAGTGTACCAGGTGTTGTTAATCCTGACATGCAGTGTTCTCAGTGTTTCCCGGTGTTGTTTCCCCCGACATGCAGTGTTCTCAGTGTACCAGGTGTTTTTCATCCTGACATGCAGTGTTCTCGTGTACC